TTAGTGTGGCCCGTCGCGCGGCGGGATGGGAGTTACTGTGGCCCGCGCAGGCCGCTCAATGAAAAGTAATATGTAAAGGTATCTCATGTTAGATCTGGAGAGATTCGCAACCCTTAAGGGAATGCACTCCCGCGCAGGCAAAAGTGGCCACAGTAACTCCCATCTGGAACCAACGTGGTAGTAGTGCTGTGTTAGTGGTGTGGTGGTCGCTGTGCTGTGTTAGTGGTGTGGTGTTGGTAGTGTTGTGTTAGTGGTGTGGTGTTGGTAGTGGCGGGTTGTGCTGTATGCTGTGTTAGTGGTGTGGTGTTGGTAGTGGTGTGCTGTGTTAGTGGTGTGGTGTTGGTAGTGTTGTGTTAGCGGTGTGGTGTTGGTAGTGTTGTTGAGTTGTTAGCAGGTAGTAGTGTTGTCGTAGTGGCAGTGGTGCTGTGGTAGTGGTCTTGTGGTAGCGGTGTTGTGGTGTTGTGGTTGTGGTATTGTGGTAGCGGTGTTGTGGTGTTGTGGTAGCAGTGTTGTGGTGTTGTGGTACTGGTATTGTGGTAGTGGTGCTGTAGTGTGGTAGTACTATGGTGCTGTAGTGCTGGTGTTATGTAATATCATTCATAGGGAGTACTAGTCCTACGGAGTACTAGCCGCAGGGAATGCTAGCCCCAGGGAGTACCAGTCCTAGGAGTTACTACCCCTAGGGCGTACCCGTCCAAGGGAGTACTCGTCCTAGGGAGTACTCGCACGACGGAATACCAGCCCTAGGGAATACTAGTCCTAGGGAGTGCTAGTCTGAGGGGGTGCAAGGAAGTACTGGCGCTAGGGAGTGCTAGCCCTAGGAGGTACTGGCGCTAGGGAGTGCTAGCCCTAGGGCGCTAGGGACGACGGGAAGTAGTGGTAGTGGTAGTAGCAGTAGTAGTAGTAGTAGTAGTGTAGTCGTAGTCGTAGTCGTAGTAGTAGTAGTAGTAGTAGTAGTAGTAGTAGTAGTAGTAGTAGTAGTAGTAGTAGTAGTACTACTACTACTACTAGTAGTAGTAGTAGTAGTAGTAGTAGTAATAATAATAGTTCCGAGAGCCCAAGAGGCTCTTCGGAGAGCCCAAGAGGCTCTTAGGCGGCTGCAAGAAGGTCTTCGAAGAGCACCAGAGGCTCTTCCGAGAGGCTCTCAGGAGAAAGGGGGGGGGGGGCGGAGCCTTTTTGGATCCCCTCCCCCCCCCCTTCACCGTACTCGATAATTAATACACTCCGGAGGACCCCTGGCCATACTAACACCCACCGGGCCGCAGTAACAACCAACGGGCCGCAGTAACACCTTATCTCTATCTTCACTCTGGCGGCCAAGATTGTGTTCTTCATTACAGGACTCATGGGTGAACCGTGGTCCCCGCGCGTGCGGGCTGCCAGGGGGTTGCGGGCCGTGTTTCTCCCCCCTCTCTCCCCTGCGTGTTCATGGTGGTATATTAGTTTCACTGTTGTCTTGCCCCTGCTCGATCTATATTATCTATATCGGCAACGAACCCACTGCATAAGCGAGCGAAGCGAAGCGAGAAGGAGGAGGAGGAGGGTAGGAGGAGGAGGAGGAGGAGGAGGAGGAGGAGGAGGAGGAGGAGGAGGAAGGAGGAGGAGGAGGAGGAGGAGGAGGAGGAGGAGGAGGAGGAGGAGGAGGAGGAGAGGAGAGGAGGAGGAGGAGGAGGAGGGAGGAGGGAGGAGGAGGAGGAGGAGGAGGAGGAGGAGGAGGAGGAGGAGGAGGGAGGAGGAGGAGGAGGAGGACGGGTACGTAAGCGGAGGAGAACCAGTAAACAGGAATGAGGAGGAACAAGCAGAGGAGGAGGAGGAGGAGGAGGAGGAGGAGAAAAAGGAGGCGGAAGAAGAGGAATGAGGAGGAACAAGGAGGAGGAAAAGGAGGAGGAGGAGGTGGAGGAGGAGGAGGAGAAAGATATGGAGAAGGAGAAGGAGGAAAAGGGCGAACATTATGGCCAAAGGCCTCTGGGTTGCCTCCCGAAGTCGTTTCGGATGTCGCTTGGAAGCTTCTTGGAGTCCTCCTGGGGCGTCTTGGGGGGTTCTTCGCGGTCCTGGGGGCCTCTTAAAGTTTCTTGGGTGCCCTGGGGGAGCCTCTTGGGTCTTCGGGGGCTCTCTTGGGAGTTTCTCGGAGGCCTCATGGGAGCATCTCGGGGTTTCCTCCGGGGCCCTCTTGGAAGCCTTGGGGGCTATCTTGGAGGAGTTCGACCAAACAAGGGTGTCCTGAATTAGGTTTCCATCCCCCGGAGGCCCAAATGGGTCCAACACCGAAGTAAAAACAATGTGCCTCCTCGCCGAGACCGTCTTGGACGCTTTAATGGTCGCGGCCCCTCCCCTCCAGACCCAGGGGGAGGGGTGGGGGAGGGGTCAAGAGTTTCCCTCTCCGCCCGCAAGCCGTCTCGCTCACTCCCACCGCCCTCCCAACACATACGTAGCAGCCGAGCCTGGCCCGAACCGCAGCACATGCAGCAGTCGTCTTTGAATGAACAACTACTGGGGGCGCGTCCGCCGCCGCCGCCACCGCCGCCGCCCGCCTCCCGCCGCCGCCGCTGCCGCGCCGCCGCCGCCGCCGCCGCTGTCCACCGCCGGCGCCGCCGCCACCGTCGCCCGCCGCCGCCGCCGCCGCCGCCCCCGCTGCCAAATCGCCGCCGCCGCAGCCGCTGCCGCCGCAGTCGCTGCCGCCACCGCTGCCGCCGCCGCCGCCGCCGTCGCCGTCGCCGCCGCCGCCGCCGCCTCCGCCCCCGCCGCCGCCGCCGCCGCCGCCACCGCCGCAGAAGCCGCAGCCGTTGCCCCCGCCGCAGGCGCCGCCGCCGCCAAGTGTACTCTGTATTGTATTTTTGACACGGATGGTGGGAGGAGGCCGCATCGGGTTCGCTGCGCATGCTCCGAATTTGGAGGCAGAGTGTGTTTCTTATTGTTTTTTACCAGGGATGGTGGGGGCAGAGTTTTTTTTTTGTTTTTGTTTTTTTTCACAAAAGGGATGTTGGATGGGGGGCCCGCATGGACCTGGGTTGGCTCCCAGTCGCCTGGGGGAGGGGGTGTATACTAATAGGGAGCAATGATCAAGCCACCCTCCCCGCCCGCAAGCCTTCTCGCCCACTCCCACCGACCCTCCCGACACAGAAGTAGCACCCAAGCCTCAGTATTCTCAGCGGGCGTCCACAGATGGACTGTTATTGGGAACGAATGCGTGCCCCATAAGCGCGACGCTGGGGAGACGTGCGCCGCGCGTGCCAGGCGCGCCACGCGCGCCGGATGCGCCATGCACCCGTGTGGCCGCCTGGCGCTCCTGATTCGCCACGTGCTCCACATGCGCCATGTGCGCCGCATGGTCCAGCCCCGCCACGTGCGCTACGTTCGGGGCGCGCGCAGAGTGTGCCAGGTGCGTCCGCGCACGTGACAACACACATCGAAAAACATTCGGCCCCCACCCTCTTTGTCGAAAGCCAATGTACAATCGCGGCGGGGAGACAATCGTGGCGTCTGGTGGGCCTGCACAAAGCACACAATTTGCCAGCACCCCCGCCGTCGTGGTCAAAAATCAGTGGGCAGCAATCGCGGGGTAGCCGTGCATGATCCAGATTTGGCCGCGACGTGCATGGTTTGTTGTTTTCTGAAACGGATGGTGGCCTTGCGCACGACAGGCATTATCAGGGCATCCCCGCCGTCCCAGTCAACAAACAATGCAAAGCGCTCGCGGGGCCTACAAGCTTTTGCCCCAAAGTGTATCCTGTATTGTTTTTCGACAGGAGTGGTGTGGGGAGGTGTCATCGCTACTGGTTGGCTGCGGGTCGCCTAGGGAAGGGGGTGTGAATTATTAGGAGACAGTAATGAACCCCTCCCCGACAGACAAAAACAGGGAAGAGCAAACGTGCTAAACCGTTCACGCCCTAAAGGGATGGTGGGGTTATGGCGCTTCTGACGTGGCCCGATGCAGTCCGTTGTTGTGCATCTTGGCACGGCCTGTCCGATCTGTCGGCGATCTATATTCGCTGGGCTGGTCCCCCCCTTTGCCATGCATCTTGCTCGAGCCACTTACCAGCGGCTCCTCAGTCGTCTATAGTCTAAAGAAAAGAGTGGCGCGCTCCGCGCGCCAGGGGGGGGTCCAGCGCCGATCCAAGAATTCTGCGCGGCCCCTGGAGTGTTTATGCTCATGCCGCTGTTATTCTTCGCTCATGTCGCTGTGATTTCTTTTTTCTAGCTGTGGCCCTGACCGTCTGGAACACGTGGTCGTCGCGGAGGTCGTGCGCCGTCCGCGGGCGCGACCCCAGGCCACAGGGTTTGCGGACACCCTTCCGCCAGCACGCCCAGGGTTTGCCCGCCGTCAGAGCAGGGTGAAGCTGTCTGCCACGAGTGATCGCAGTCTCGTAGCGTTCCATGCTCTTTGCCTAGCCATATGCAGCTGCAACGCCGAGAGCTCGAGCAAAATGGCATTCGGCCCACGGTACACCATCTCGAGCACACGTTTGAATATCATTGTCTTGAGACTCCCGTCCAAGACATGGGCGCCGATCAATAGGCGATGTATCTGTGGGTCCATCTCCGATGAGACAACAATGCTGGAGGCTTCGCGCGGCGCGCAAAAGTTGCTAGTCCACGCGTCTGCCCCGTCAGAGACGGGTCGACGTTTGCGCGGCGATGCCCCGACGAAGTCCCGCGTGACTCTCACGTGAACCCCACGCAAATCCGATACATGTCGTGGTGTCCCCCCGAGATTCCCCCCTCACCTCCAGGGCTCATTTCGACCCGATCGATTCGGCATGATGCCGATCCCAGCCAGCGGGATCCGATCTGATTCAGGTATTCTGGCGGTCTTTCTGCGGCCCGATGCGGTCCGTCGTTGTGCATCCTGGCGCGGCGGTCCGATTCGAGTTCGACTCCGTACCGATGCAGCCAAGTCCGCTTTCGCCCGATTCGTCTCGACGGTTCCCCACCGCGACGACGGTGAGTCTCGCCACGTCGGCGTTGTCGACGACGACGACGACGACGACGTTCCCCCGCAGGCTCGCGTGCGGGGGCCTCGTGCGGCTGCCCGCGCGGCCCTGGCCGTGCTCGGCCACGGCGCCGCTGGCCGTCGCCGTCACCGCCTGCTTCTGCGCCGCCGAGTGGCCCCGCGCGCCGGCGGCCGCGCCCCTCGTCGTGGGGGTGGTCGGCACGGTGGCCTTGTCCCGAAGAGCAAAAGACGCCACGAATCGAAGAATTGGCCTGCATCTCGAAGAACAAGCATCTCGGGTCGTAAAGCATGGAAGTTTCCGATCGTCTTGGACTGAATGTATCGAGTGGCCTTCGGCCTGGGTGTGAAGCCCATTGGATGTTCGTCTGGATCTCGTGGGAGGCCTCTCGGGGGCCTCTTGGAGGCAGCTTGGACTCCTCTTGTGAGCCGTTTTGGGGCTTCTTTTGGGCATTTTGGGGGCCTCTCGGGGCCTCTTTGGGGCATCTGGGGTGCCTCTTGGATTCTAAAACGAACTGGGATACAGGCGAGAGGTAACGAGCGTGTGTCCGCGGCCGTCTGTGCTCAAGCGGCCGGCCGCCCAGATCTGACTATTCCTCAGTGCGAGGTGTACCAGTTGTCATCGAAACCAAAACATCCTTTGCTTGAGATGGTTCGTCGCTCCCGCGACGATATCCTACTACTGGGGCTACCGCTACTACGGTACAACAAAGCTGGAGTTGGGCTTCGCCTTAGGCGAAGCTGCTGGTTGAGCTTCCCAACCATGCCAAACTTGGTAGCGGAGCTGGCCTATGGTGGTCAGCTCTAGCTCTACTTATCACCATCCACGGCACTATCTGGTGGACTTTTGACATGGTGGAACATCAGGGCGCAGTGGGTCTGCGCGGAGGAATGTACTTAACTACGCACAGCCGCAAGGACACTTGCAGTGCGACTTCTGCTCTCGAAGAGGCCTCTTACTTGAGTCCTACCACCCCCTCTACTCGATTCCTGACATCTACCCACCTAGTCCAATTGGGAACTTCTTCGAAGATACAATGCATGGAAACATGCGATACGACATTGTGCCGCCTCCACCCCCGCGCAGGCTTACGACAATACACCACAAACTCCAGCCAACCACATCCGACTGCGACCTACGAAGCCACCGGATTGATATAGCTGTCTTTGGGCTCGTATGGTTTGCTATCGGGCGCGCGGTGGGACACATGCGCGGCGCAGACGTCACGAGAACAACCGGCCCCCACTTAATACCCGGCTGGTCAAGTAATTTTCCGCCAATTCGCTCGCGAGGTGCATGCTTGGATCAACGTGACCGCAGGCACTATGACGCCCTCCCAACGAGCTGCAGCGCTGCAGCGAGGCTTGGGAGGCCTCGCGCGGAACATAGCCATGAGAGTTCCCCCAGCAGTTATCGATTTCGGCGTTAACATAAGTGGCCGGCATACCGATGGCGCCACCTACATCATGTTCCTGTTAAGCACGAAATTCGAGAACTTAGAAGAGGAACGTCAATTCAACTCTGGTACAGCTCTAAGTGACTGACCGACCAGACTCTGGAACGCTTCGAGATAGCCCGCTATGAAGCCGAAACGGCAGGCTTCAACATCCCCAGCGTTCGAATTCTATGTCGTTCGGTTCAGAGGTTTCGGAGTGGGGACGTCGCGTGCACAACAGCTTCTACATCCACTAAGCGAGCGCATGCCCAGGGACCAGCAGCAATTCGACTTTCTGCTTGAAGGCGAGAGGTCATATGCCCACATCGCTGAGCGAACCCCTGGCAATAGTGGTGGTATCTTCAGCCACGCTCACCGGGCTCACCGTACTCAGACCTTTTCATGTTAAGCTAACGCAGGGCAGCCTGCTACCGACGTCGGGAAAGACGATCCACAACCAACGGAAACCACCACACCATTAACTGAAAATGGTGGTTCGGCCTCGGGGTTGCAAGACTCCCAGGCCAGGTTTCGGGGGCCGCTGGACGCGGCGGCCCCTACAAGCCACTACCCTAGTAGGCTCAATTTGGCAACCCGCTGTGTCCGACTTCGACTCTGGAACCGACACTGACGCGCCCTCGGACGAGGAGGCGAATGCCCCATATACTACTCCGACATGCCCACGTATCTTACGGAAGAACAACAGGCGCAATGGCTTTTCTTAGGATATCAGGAACACAAAACGCAAGTGGATACGATTCATGAAGAAGCCAGTTCGTAAGGTACGACGTACTATCCGACGGGCACTCAGGGGAACAGGGTAATAATCGAGGCCAGGATAAGGGCAAACGTCGGCGACTGCATGGCAGAGGTATGCCGGCATTCCTGGCATCCCGTACTGGTCCGCAATATGAAGAGATGTTCCTAGGCGCAGGCAGTGGGCGCATTTCAGGAAAAGGGCAAGGGACGTCGGGGCAACCCGAAGGATGCTAACGGCGAGACAATGGAATGCGATATCTGCCATAGCACACAACACGTTCGCCGTGATTGCCCTCCGGGCGAGGGGGGGGGGGGGGGGGGGGGGGGCAGAGGTCCGTCGGTACACATGGCTCAAAGTGAGTCGGGCATGCTACTTGAGTGCCAGTATGTCCCTCGAGAAGGACGCCGACGAGCTGATCGAGGAGATATTCACTGGCCACAGGGAGATCAGTCTGGCAGACTGGCTGGGCATGCCCGTCGCGGGGCAACCTGCGGGCATTGAATTTGTCGAGAATTTCTGTGCGCCCGCCGTGGCAGATCAAGAAATGGCTGGGGCGCCCGCGGATTCAGAAGCCACAGCCCTTGCGACAGAAGAGAAAATACAATTGGTGCTTTATCTTCGGGTCATTGGCACTCCGATAAACATGGAAGTGCCCGATGATGACCCTCTCCAGGAAACCCGCGAGATGCCGGCGATCTGTCGGGGCGCATCCAGTGCGAGCTCGGCCACGGCGAAGGATTTCAATATACATTCGCAGCCGCGGAGCGTTCCCTGGGCCGCCAGGGGCGATCGGCGAGCCGTCGAGCCTGGAGACGCGCGTGCCGCGCGGGCGATGACGACGAAGAGTGGGAAGTTGATCCGCGTCTGCTACGTCGCGGCCGGGCCCGCAGTTATCCATGCGAACGCCCGCGCGCGCGCTCCAGCGGCGCTCGCCCTAGCGGCCCACGGCGCCCTTCACCCTCCTGATGCGGGGGCCCCGAGGTCTTCTCCAAGGGGGGGTGTTAGACCTGGCGCCCCACTGAGGAAGGAGCGCTTGCGGGGGCGCCCGCCTCAGAGAGAATATCCCCCGGGAGAATGCCCGGAAGGCGAGATGCAGCGCCCTCTCAGCTACTGGAGTGCTGGAGTGGCTCGCCAACGCATGCCCCCTGATACGACGCGACGGTGCCGGGTCCGAGGTTGGGCCGAGCGCCAGATGCGTCACTGGCACTCTCTTCGAAACGTTGCGCGAGATGACGGAGGCAAAGTCATTCGCTCAAAAAGAACGGGGGCTGCGAAAACACATGGCCCTTGCAAAGCGGGGCGAGAAGAGGGCCATCGTCGGAGAACGGAAATTGTGCCGATATGTTGTTTGCATTTGGTCTGCGCATGCCGACCGCGGACTTGGCCGCCCCATGAGGCGCCCCTCAAGGGGCCCCAACTTCCGCAAGACAGCCGTGGGTCTGGTCTCATGGCGATGGTCGCGATCATTTCGCCGATCCACCGATCCGAACAAAATTGCACGCAGAGATCAGTTGACGCACTTGGATTGCAAGGCAGCTGAAGATCATGAAATAGCCCACGCCAAGGTTATATGGGAGAACCTTTCACCTGCTCACTACCTGAAGGCATTCAATCGTGAGTGGCATGTGTGGAAGCCTGTTTCGTCCAACCAAGAAGATAACGACCAGCCAGAAAATGATGAAGCTGAAGCATTGGCCGAAGCAGTGGGTCCCACAGTGGCACGAAGCACAGCGCTTCGTGGCCTCATAAGGGGGCGCCAGCGAAGGTCCCACTGTTGCAGTTCGCATGCGCTTCCCCCGTCATAGCGCTCCGTGACCCTATATGGGGTTCCACCGAAGATCCCAGCGCCGCAGTTTGCATGCGTTTCCCCCGCTCAGAACAGCGCTTCGTGGCCCCAAAAGGAGCTCCACCGACGGTTCTAGTGGCGCAGTTTACGTGCGTCCCCCCCGCCCAGCACAGCGCTTCGTGGTCCCATGCGGAGCTCCGCCGAATGTCCCAGTGGCGCAGTTCGCATGCGTCTCCCCCTCCTAGCAGAGTGCTTCATGGCCCCGGAGGGAGCTCCGCCGAAGGCCCCAGTGACGCATTTCGCATGCGTCTCCCCCGCCCAGCACAGCGCTCCGTGGCCCCAGAGGGATCTCCACCGAAAGTCCCAATGGCGCAGTTCGCATGCGTCTCCTCCACCCAGTACAGCGGGTCGTGGCTCCATGGGGGGGTCCACCATCAGCTCCAGTGTCGCAGTTCGCATGCGTGTTGCCCACCCACTACAGTGCTTCGTGGCCACATGGGGGGATTCACTGAAGGTCCCAGTGGCTCAGTTCGCCTGCGTCTCCCCCATCCAATACAGCGTTTCGTGACCCCATGGGTCAGTACAGCTTTTCGTTGGTCCATATGGAACTCCACCAAAGGTCCCAGAGGCGCAGTTCGCATGCGTCTCCCCCTCCCAGTACGGCCTATCGTGGCCCATGGGGGGTTCCAGGGAAGACGATACCCACAATCGCAGTACTCACGCTTGCATGTGTCTTGGTTCTTCGCCAGGCTAAGTTTTGTTTTCGGTGCGGTCGCAGCGCGGCCATCTACGGCCACCGATTAGCAGTTTTGCCAACCAGCCTCGCACAAAGGGCTGATCAATTTGTCTCGAATTCGAAAGGGTTTTCACCCCTGTTATTCGGGCCCGTCTCGCGCGGGTCTCGACCTCGCTCATGCCGCCCGAGTGGTGTCAGCCGCCGCCTCTGAGGTTTTTGCGGCCCACAGGGAGTGAAGCCCGCCCCCCTCCCCGCCGTTGGTGGCGCCCCTCTCTGCCCCTTTGAAGGCCGAGGTGGCTGGGGGGGTCCTTAACGGGAGCCTCAGGGAGGCGGGCCGTTCTCTCTTGGCCTCGTTTTCGTCGTTCCGTCGCACGCTGTGCTTCGCACGACGCCTGGGCTAGCCCCCCCCTTCTGATGTTGCCCCTCACCTTTTCCGACGATCGAACGTCGCCATGTGCCGAATAACGAAAATCTGTATACGCATACATTTCCGGAGCTCCACGTGGATGTCTTCGATCTGGCGTTTTCCTGTGTTTTGAGGTGCGAGGTTCGAAAGTTTTGGGCGCTTTCGTGTGTTCCAGGCGGTTTTCCAGCCTCAGGATGCCCTCAGCGCCTGCGCTTCTCCGAGAGCGCGCCAGGAGTGCCCAGGTCGTTCCGAACGGCCGCCAGAGTCTTGAATTATGGCCCGGAAGCAACAGGGGGCGGGGACAGGTTCAGGGGAGGGATGCATCGACCCTCAGTCGCCCATTGATCGCCGAATGGGAGCCCACGCCGCTCAGGAACGTGCGGACCTGCTATCGGGGGGCTCTCGCCGATCTGTTGGCTGCGTATCGCCGATGCCAGGTCGATGTGTTCCCCCCTTGAGCTGGCTTCTGACCCTTCACCTTATCCCGAAACGCAGACCTCGCCATGATTCGAAGAAGGAGTGGCTGCGTAAGCATAAACGTTCAGTGCTCCGCACGGATTTCTTGGATCGATCTGCGCTGAGGTCTTCCTGGCGACGCCTTCGGCGCTGGCCCTGGCGCGCTCCGCGCGCAAGGGGAGGGGCCCAGCGCGGGTCCGAGAAATCTGCACAGACCTCCGACAGTTTATGTTTCTGCCGTGTTTTCTTCTAGTGAAGGACCCGGGTCCAGAGGGAAGTGGGTCCTCGATGTTGGACCCGATTGTTTCAGGGGCCGGCGTTGGACCCCCCCTCCTTGGCAGCGCTTTTGGCACCGCCCCTGGCGCGCTGCGCTTCGCGCGCCAGGGTAGGGCGTCCAGCACCGACCCAAGAAGTTCGCGAGAACGTTCGAGTCTGTTTGCTCACAGCCAAGACGCTTGGATAAAAAAAGCGCTTTGGGTTCGGGAGGGGCTTGGTGTTCATTGGGTCATTCCGTGGTTGTTCTTTCAGCCATCTTCAAGCACCCAGGCTGTTCTGGTGCCAGAGTGGGCTTCGTTCCGCATTTGGCGTCCCTTCTTGCAGCAGCTTGGCTCGATGGTGACGAAGACGAGGACGTCATCGTCATCGCCGTCGTCTTTTGCTTTTCTGTTGTCCCTCGCCGCGTTCGGAGTCTGCGCGCTGAGCGACCCCGGCACGCTTCCTCGGCGGGGCGTACTGGCACCGCTGACGGTCTGCCCCGACGGCCGAGCCCATATGCGCCAGCTCGTGGAGCTCTACTGCGCGCTGGCCGAGGTTTTTTCTCGGGGGCGCCGACAGGGGGGGGGCGGACACGTCGACCCCCGGTTGCGCACTCCTCGGGGAAGCGCAGCAGAGGATAATCAGCACGAGGCATAGACTCTGTCGGAGGTCCGCGCGGATTTCTTGGATCGGCGCTGGAGCCCCCTAGCGGCGCCGCCGGCGCCGCGCCGAGCGCGCTCCGCGCGCCAGCGGGTGTGGGGGGACCAGCGCCGATCCAAGAAATACGCGCGAAGTTCCGGAAGTGCATGTTCTTGTCATTCTTTGTTTTTTTCGTTCCTCGCTGATTGGGGCCTGAGTGCCCCAAGCTGCCCAGGAACGCATGGCTCCCCCATAGGTGGCCCATGGCCCCCCTCTAGCCAGTCCCACCCTGTCGTTCCTCCGCAAAGGTTCGCAGATCGCAGAAAGCCAGGCTCGCGGTTGGGCCCGACGATTTTGCCTTGCGCACTTTGGGAAGGTTCGATGCGTTACCTTGCGTTGGTCGCCGAGGGGCGCATGCCGAACTGCAGGGCGGTCTGGTGGAGGCCGATAAATTTTGGAGCGACCTGTTGGACGGAGTGGGTTTGAGGCATCTCTGGTTGTGCCGGACGTGCCAGATCAGACGGCCACCGAGGAGTTCTCACTGCAGATTTTGTGACGAATGCGTTTTGGAATTTGATCATCATTGTTTTTGGGTAGGCAACTGCGTTGCCGCCCGAACTCAGCGAGCGTTTCTGTTATTCTGAAAGCTTACGCCATTCCGCCGACCCCCCACATGGAACAATGAGAAGAAGCGGAGGAGCAGGAGAGAAGGGGCTGCAGGAGTGGAGGACGGAGGAGGAGGAGGAGTACGAGGAGGAAGACGACGAGCATGAAGAGGAAAGCGAGAATGGGGCATTAGGGAATGACTGCTCGGGGCTTCCCCGTGGAGATCCCCGTCACGTTTTGTTGTTGTTGTTGTTTGTGTAGGGGTGTGTGTGGGGGTGGTCCAGATCCCCAACGTGAGAAAACCTGACCCCCCCTCAGGCAAATCTCACGCCCGTTGACAGCTTATTTTCAACTGGTTTTCCAGTACCCTCCCCGTCCTGGACCGCATCTTTCCCTTGTAGGCTTTGTCCCGTGCTAGACTGCATCCGCCCCGCAGCGGCCCGCCGCTTGGACACCTGTGGGACAATCTTCGGTTGCTCTTGTCTGGGAGCCGCTTGATGGCTCATTGGGCCCTTTCTGATGCATGTGAAAACTCATGCGGATCAGAAAAATCAAACAAACAAGCAAGCCTCTTGGGGCTACACCGGGACCATCGTGGAGGCCGTCGTAGCCCATCGTGGGCCATTTTGGATGGTGAAGCCATCTTGGGCTACGTTCGAGCCCACCAGAGCCATCATGTGCCAATTTGCTGGCCTGTATTGTTCTGGTAGGCACGGTGGGAAGCCTCCAGGGACTTTTGGGGGCCCTTTGGTAGCTCGTAGGGCGCCCCGTCTCTCAACAGGGTTCTGGACTTCCGGGAAGGGGGAACAGGGAGAGGGGTCGTGGGGGCGGCCAAATACCCCATACCGTCAAGCGGGGTCGGCAGATTCGTCGTGGGCATGGCGCTGAGTGCATGTGTCGTTTTTGCCGTATCCTTGGCTGAGGTCATCTGGTGTCTCTGTCGGGTCTTCCAACACGGCGCGATCTCGACCTCTCGGACTTGGCAGCCATCCGGTATGCTGGCCGTTGCCGTGCTCGGGGCTTGCGCCCTCGTCGCCGACAGGGCCGGGGCTGCTCGGCGCTGCGGGAAGCAGCGCAGAGCGGAGGAGGCCGCGCTGCTCCTGAAGGGAGCCCAGGTGGGCGCGGCCGCTGCCTGGTTCGCTATCGCGGCGTCCCTGCCGGGCGTCCGATGGGAGCCGGCCGCAACGGGCGCTCTCGCGCTGCCCTTCGCGGCGGTGCTGCTGGGCGCCGCGGCGCAGCAGCTGCACGTGCTGGGCGGCGGCACGAGCGTCAAGGAACTCCTCCGGCAGCCCACGGGCGGCGCGGCCGCGGACAGTCCCCCAGCGGCGTGGGCCGCATCGAGGATCCAATTGGCTATCCGAGGCAGGGTTTATCGAGGATGTGTTATGCGTGCTGTTCTTCTGTTTTCCGCCCACGCGCTTCGGCGTATGGCTCAGCGTAGCGTAATCGCCTGGTGGATGGATCTTTGGGGACCTCGGCAGGCGGTGCATATGGATAGATTCGGGCCTAAACATGTCCATATCCACCGCCAACTGGGGTCCAAGACGTCGGTTCCCCAGGCGGTGGATATGGGTAAACCCTTGCCGCGCACTCTATAGGCCTCCCAGATGGGCTCGGAGCAGGTGGGGTCGGAGGCTCGCGCCGCTCGCGCCGCAACGCCGATGCATCGGCGAGGCGGCTCGATGTGGAGCCCGATTCTCTCCACGTCGGCGTCGCCGATGCATCGCCGACGTCGCCGATGCTGCGCGATCCTCCGCCCGCATCTACTCAGACCTCATCTATGGGGCCTCTAGGATCGCCGCCTTCCTGGCGCGGCCGGTGCCTCCCTCGCTGGTGCCGCTCCGCGCTGGGCTGCAGAGTCGGGATTCGGGGGCATCGGAAGAGGAGGACGAGAGCTCGGGGAGCGGCAGCGGGCGATGCTGCCAGCGGGCGTGCCCGAGCTCGCAGGGGAGCGGTTCCGATTCGGAGTCGGAGGACGACCGCTCCAGGCTGCTCGGCGATGGCGAGGGCGGAGTGCCGCGCCCCGGGGCGTGAGCGGTCTACGGGCCCCATTCGCGGAGGTGGTTTCTGCGGCGAAATATTCCCAGGTAGTGCGGTCTTTGGTGGGAGTAGATAGTGATGCAGTGATGATGATGATGATGATGATGATGATGATGATGATGATGATGCTGATGATGATGATGATGATGATGATGGTGGTGGATGATGATGATGGTGGTGGTGATGATGATGATGATGATGATGATGATGATGATGATGATGATGATGATGCTGATGCTGATGCTGATGCTGATGATGATGATGATGATGATGATGATGATGATGATGATGATGATGATGATGATGATGATGATGATGATGATGATGATGATACTAGTGCGCGCACGTCTTGCGTCAGCCGATGTTGCTCTCTGCAGCGTGTGTTGCTCAAAGGGGGGGCTCCCTGGATGCATATGCAGGTAGACCCTCTGCTGCTGTACACACTCACACGTGACTCTCTGTCGGGAGTGTACCATCTCTTTTCTAGACCACAGGTGGAAGAAGCGTGTCCGCCTTGTGTTTGCCAGTGCGTCGTGTCGGGCGAGGCGAGTGGGGAGTGCCCCGCTCTCGAGCGCCTGGTCTCCCAGCAGCTGGCAGGCCCGACGACCAGCACGGCGCGCTACGAGTTCAACTTCGTGCTGCACGCCGGCTTCGTCGTATTGGCCTTCGTGGTGGGAGCTCTCCTTGGTCGGGGCTGCTCTTTTCGGAGTTCCAAGCGGGTGGTCAGCTTGACCGATGGCGCAGCTGGTGGCAGCAGCAGGGCAGGCAGGAGCGGCGGGGCCGGCGGTGGTGTCATCGTCGTTGGCCCCGGGGCGTAAGGTGCTGGTGCGCTACGATGATGACCTCTGGCACGTTCGCATCCTGCTCGCGAGAGTTGAGGACACAAGGTGGATCAAATATACACCCGACAGTGACCTGTATGAGGAGGACTACGGCCCCAACAACGGCGATATCACAGCTGTGCGGGCCTTCAAGGCGGACGGCAGCATCCCAGCGAGCCTGCAGGGTGCCAACATCTACAACTTCAGAGCTGGTGCTGAACCTGATCAGGCCGCGCTGCGCGGGCTGATGGAGGAGGCGCAGGATCTGGTGGCGTTGGCAGGCCGCGGAGTGGCTCCGCCGGGAGCCGAACCTGAGGTATGGCTGTTCGCGGAGTCGAACGCAGTCTTCTCGGTCGGTGACGAGTGCCCAGGGCAGCCGGAGGTGTTCGTCGAGAAGCGCGGCATCGCTCGTGCTGGGCTGGACGTGCTCTTGGTAGAGAAGGTGGCAAGGCACCAGGTCGAGCAATGGAAGGCGGACCACGCCGCCTCCAGCGACGCGCGGGTGCTGCCAGTTCGGTACCCCCCTTCTGGCGAGCGGCTGCGCAGCTGGGCGAACGTGGCGGAGAGTGCGGATGAGAGTGCGATCGACCATTGGCCCGTCAAGGGGCCAAGGACAGCGCAGTGGGTGGCCCGTTTCATGGCTCGTCGCAACACCGGGCCCGAGGACCACCACCGCTGGTGGAGATCGACCGCGCGCCTGAACGCCTCAGATTGGGGCGTAGCCGAGCATGGCCAGCTGTGCTCGTACCTGGAGGCGGCGGCGAGTGTGGATCAGCTCGACCTGTCGAACTTGGTGGTGATGGAGAAGATCGCACGCCGACTCCAGACCATAGAGTACCAGTAAGCAGAGAAGGTTCGAGAGGGAGAGCGCGGCGGAACCGCCGGCGCTTCTTCCTCCGTCGCTGGATCAGCAGTTATCACGCACGACGAGATGGACTTGTTCGAGGGGCGGCAGCACGTCAATCCCACGGTGTACTGTGCCCCGACGCTCATCGAGCACGTGAGTAAGGAGTTAGAGAAGGAGTCGCAGATCCAGAAGCAAGCCAGAAAAAGCTCGAGAAGAGAGAGCCCTCCTTCGTCAGCCCCCAGGCGGAGGTGGTCGTGGCCGTGGGGGCGGCGGGCAATGAGCACACGCAAGGCCGTCGGAGACGGCCTCATCCGACGGCCAGCACTGCAGGCAGGCCATCCATCGCTCACAGGAGCGACGAATTCGAGTGCAAAGTCGAGTCGGCTATTTTCGTCGACGGAGCCTCGGCCACTTTTAGAGCATCGGGTAAAAGCATCGAGGTCAGATCCCTCGATCTGCGCAACTAGGCGGCCGCCTGGGCTGAGCAGTCTTCCAATCTCGTCCGAGCAGTGGTTGAATAGGCTTAGTCACGACGCCGCCTCCGTCCTTACAAAAATGTACCTGGGTGGTGCTCCGTGCTGTCCTGCGGGTTCTGCTTCGTCTTTGGGCGGGGGCGGCATGGGGCACCTCCGAGAACGTTGCAGTAGGATGGGCACCCCCCCCGCCGATGTTCAGCCGGCCGAGGCTTTTTCGAGCATCAGCGGTGGATGTGACTATTCTGGCGAGAGTTCGCCAGCAGTTCCCCTGGACGAGTCTCTGCTGTCGCTCAGGCCTGCAGGAACGGCCCCAATTGATATATGTCAGCTTCTGGGCCCCAAAAGTCGCGAGGAAGTCCAGGCGTGGATGTGCGAGCATGCGCTACCAAACTCAGTAGGCATGCACAGTTTCGAAGCGAGCAAGATGAAGATTTATCATGACCCTGGCCTTCGCAGGTCAGCGCGCCGATATGCACGCGTGCTTCAGATGCTGCATGTCAGGAACATGGTTGAGTTTGTGTGCGAGGAAGGTGACGCTTGCGTAGGACTTTTTACTGTGCGCAAGAAGAGCGGCGCCCAGCGCCTGATTGCCGACTGCCGGCGGTCCAATTGCTTTTTCACGAGTAGTGATCATGTCGAGCTGCCCACATCGGGCGCGCTATCCAGGTTAAGGCTCGAGGCCGGAGAGAAGCTGCATGTAGGTCAGTACGATTTAAAGGATGCTTTCTTTCAGTTTGGAACGCCCCCCGAGTTGCGGAGATTTTTCCATCTGCCCCCCATTGAGGCTATGTGGATGAAGCAGCTGCTCCCCGACATTCCGAGCACTGGAGGGATGGTGCGACCTCGGCATGCTGTCGTGCCGATGGGTTGGGCCCACGCGCTGTACTGGTGCCAGACCATACACGAGAGGATTTTGAGCCAGGCGTTTCCAAGCTCTCATCTTCTACAAGATCATCGGCCAGTTGGTGATCTGAAAAATCGGTGTGTGTCGGTATATGTGGACAACGTGGGCGTCTTCTCGAGCTCCCCTGATGTTTGTCGCGATCTCACTCAGCGATCCCTGGAGGCTGTTCGAGGTGCCGGTCTAGAGGCTCACGAGGTCGATGTCGTCGGAGTCGGGGGAGATCTACTGGGGCTCAGCGTCTCGGGAGATGGTCGAATCTTACCGCGACACGAAAGGAGATGGAGGGTTTGGATGGCTTTGGAATTCCTCTTGAGGCGCCGTCGTTGTTCTGGTAGGACGCTTCGGAAGCTCTTGGGGCACATCGCCCATCAGGCAATGCTTCGTCGGGAGTTGCTGTCATGCTTTCGTGCCGTGTATGCATTTATCGAGAAGTACCCCGATAGCCCCTCGAAGCTGTGGCCCGCGGCGTTGAGAGAACTCCTTTGGGCTCAGGCGTTGCTTCCGTTGCTCGAGCGCGACCTTACCAAGCCGTGGGGACCGAGGGCCTATACGCGCGATGCGTCGCCGTGGGGTCTTGGGATATGCGCGGCGCGGCCGCTCACTGAGGTGTTGGACGAGGCCAGCAGGTATTCAGATCGGCGGCACTTCTTGGGTGGAGGTCGCGCTAATTTACGGGCAGTACTGGAGTACTGGAAGAAGGGGATGATGATGACGCTGGGGCACCTGAAGGTTCCTTTCGAAGAGTGCCTCCTGTTCCTGGGCTTCGCACTAGCTTGCTGCACGCTAAGTGGCACACGGTCAGTAGTAAGGCTTGGGAGCGTAGTGAACACATCACTTGTCTCGAAGGTCGGGCCCTGGTGGGAGTCCTCGGGAGGGTCGCAAAGACTCGCGAGTACATCCAGAAGCGGGCCCTCATTCTCACGGACTCCATGGGCGCGTTGTTTTCGGCTCAAAAGGGAAGGTCGAGTGCGCCAGGTCAGTGCCGCGTCGCCCGCCAGTTGGCCTCCCTCCTCCTGCTGTGGGACATCCAGCCCTGTCTGCGATGGGTGCCCGGCGAGAGGAACGTAGCTGACGAGCCGTCCCGCCGCGGGTTGCGGCATGCTGGCGCGGCGACCGCTGAAGGCAAGTTCCGCCGTGGCTGGGGCAGCGCGCGAGGAGAGAGTGCTCTCTCGGAGTGGCGACGCCGGGCGTTTCCTGACCCGCCAGGCGCCGGCTCCGCCGGCGCTGCTGCCGGGCGCGGCCCGCCCCCCCCCCGGTCGCGCCGGCGGCGGCGCCAGCCGAGGATCCTCGCCTGCCGCGACGGCGCTTGGCCCCGGCCACAGCGCCAGAGCATGTGCGTCGGCGAGTTCGGCGACGGCAGGATGCTCACGGTGCTGTGCGGGCCTTGCCCGGACGGGCGGTGCTGGAGACGGTCGTGGTGCGAGCGCCGACGAGGCGATCGTACCTCCGTCGGCTTGCGGGGCTGGCGCGGCGCTCGGGGATGGTGATCGCGCAGAACGTGACTGGCGCGGAGCTGGACCGGGCGCAGGACCGCATCATCAGCTTCCGCGGCCGACGAGCGTGGTGAGCCTGGACGCGGCGGTGGTGGAGCACCTCAACGAGGAGTGTTTCGAGGGCGCGACGGGGGGCGAGGGCGGCCGGTTGCTGGCAGCGCTGTCCTGGGCCTTCGCCTCCGCGGGCAAGCAGGTGTGTAACCCCCCTCGGGCGCGGACATGCTCCGCGGCGTTGCGCCGACTTGCTCCGGGCGAGTCGAGGTTGCCAGTTCCCGAGAGCCTGCTCTTTGTGGTGGCGAACGAGCTGATCGCGCAGGGGGGGTTGCAGCAGGGCGCGGCGGTCTTGGCGGCGCACCACTGCTACCTTCGCCCCGGCGAGCTGCCCCGCGCAACGTGGGGGATGATCCACCCGCCAGTCAGTGCAAGTGGGCCAGGGGCCACAGTCACCATCGCGCTGCATCCCTTCGAGCTCGGCGCGAGCTCCAAGGTGGGGGAGTTCGACGAGACAGTGAAGGTGGACCGGCTACCTCTTGCGACGGCGCTCCTTCGGCTTCGACGGATCCGCCCAGCCAGCGAGCGCCTGGCAGGGGTCGGGTCGGTTGCCCTCGGCGAGAGCGTGGCGCAGATCATCCGCGAGTTCGGCCTCGAGGAGGCGATCGGCGAGTTCATGATGTATCGTCTCCGTCACTCAGGGCCAAGCGCCGACTTCCTGGCAGGTCGCAGGGCGATCGCGGAGATCAAGCATCGCGGCAGGTGGTCATCAGACAGCAGTGTGAGGAGATATCAAAAAGGAGGGCGTATCAACGAGCTCCTAAATCGGCGTTCTACCCAGATGAAAGAATTCGCCGCCAGGTGTTTGGAGGCCGTGCCGAGGATCCTGCAGAGTGCGGCCGCGCCGCTGCAGGCTCCAGCGGGCCTGCGCGTACGTTGTTTGTGCCCTTCTTTCTAGAGATCTTTGCAGGAACGGCTCGCGTGTCCAGGGAGATGGCTCGGCTCGGCTTCCTGGCGATCGCTATCGACACTCGGTTCGGCATGAGGCATGATATGTGTAAAAGATCCCTGGTGAGAGCCATTAGAGGCTGGATCATGTCGGGCTTCGTCATAGGCATTCACTTCGGCACGCCGTGTATTTCATGGTCTCGCGCTCCTACCAGGCCTAACGGCCCCCAGCCCCTAAGAAGCGGTGAACACATTCTTGGGCTGCCCGTCTTGCGAAACGAGGGGGAGCGCTGGAAGATAGATATGGGAAACACTACCATGAAAAAACACTGGGAGCATCGCGTCAGTGGCGTCTCTGCACATGGTCCCGTTCTGTATCGAGAACCCTTACTTATCTTTTATTTGGGAGGCGCCTCAGATGCTGCATCTACGACGACGTCACACTACACGGGAGATTCGAATTGATTTCTGTCAATGGGGAGTCCCTTGGATGAAGCCAACTAGGTTAGTGTGTAGTTACTTGCCTGTTGAATCCTTGGGCCGTAGGCGTAAAGTCTGCAGGGGAAGGTGTTCCAGAACTAACAAACCACATGTTTCTTTAACGGGCAAGAACAGCAATGGAATATTTAAAACCCGCGTGGCCGAGGAATATCCAAAGTGTTTTTCCCGTGCCCTTGCCAATGCTTTCGCTAATTGTTTTAAGAGCCTGAAGGCCACCTCTTTTTCTGCAGTTTTGTAGTGAGTGTGTATCCAGGGAGAAGTCCCACCACCACCCCTTCTCCTCCATGATAGAACAGTTTGCACATGTGGAGCGGAGCTGCGCTTCAGAATTCTGTGATGTTGTTGAGCAGCACCCTGAAAAGGTGCTGGTGCACAGCGCTTGAGATCAGCACAACTGTCTGCGCTGCCCGTGGTTAAAAAAGGTCTGGCTGCCGTTGCTCGTGCTCCCTCGGGCCCCGGTGGCCCTCTCAAAGCAGGCAGGTGTCTCACACGCCCCGAAGGCAGATGCTACTAGTGCGCGCACGTCTTGCGTCAGCCGATGTTGCTCTCTGCAGCGTCCCGCCCACCTCCCTTGTCGCTGCCCGTGCGTGAAGAAGCAGCACCCTCTGGCTGCCGTCTGCGCTGCCCGTGCTCCCTCGGGTCTCGGTGGTCCTCTCAAAGCAAGCAGGTGTCTCACACGCCCCGAAGGCAGATGCTACTAGTGCGCGCACGTCTTGCGTCAGCCGATGTTGCTCTCTGCAGAGTGTGTTGCTCCCGCCCACATCCCTTGTCACATTTTTACTTATTTGCCTTGCGGAGCGGAGCTGCGCTTCAGAATTCTGTGATGTTGTTGAGCAGCACCCTGAAAAAAGGTGCTGGTGCACAGCGCTTGAGATCAGTACAACTGTCTGCGCTGCCCGTGGTGAAAAAGTTCTGGCTGCCGCTGCTCGTGCTCCCTCGGGTCTCGGTGGCCCTCTCAAAGCAGGCAGGTGTCTCACACGCCCCGAAGGCAGATGCTGATGATGATGCTGATGATGATGATGATGATGATGATGCTGAGAAGGAGGATGATGATGAGGGTGATGGTGGTGGTGAAGATGATGACGATGAAGCAGGAGGAGGCGGGGGAGGACGATTAAGATGATGATGGTGGTGAGGATGATGGTGGTTGTGGTGACGGTGATGGTGGTGGTGATGATGATGATGATGATGAGGAGGAGGAGGAGGGGGAGCCTGCGGATGATGATGATGATGATGATGATGATGATGATGATGGTGAGAAGGGGGAGGAGGAGGAGGAGGAGGGTGATGGTGGTGGTGATGATGATGACGATGAAGCCGGAGGAGGCGGGGGAGGAGGATTAAGATGAGGATGATGATAATGAGGATGGTGGTTGTGGTGACGGTGATGGTGGTGGTGATGGTGTTGATGATGAGGAGGGGGAGGGGGGGCCTGCGGATGATGATGATGATGGTGATGATGATGATGATGATGGTGACGATGATGATGGTGATGATGATGGTGATGATGGTGATGATGATGACGGCCATGGTTATGATGATGATGATGGTAGTGGTGGTGTTGCTGATGTTGATTGCGATGCTGATTCTGTGTATGATGATGGTTGTGATGATGCTGCTTATGATGGTGATGATGATTATGATGCTGCTAGTGGTTGTGGTGGTCATGATGATGAAGGCGGGGAGGAGGATTCTGATGATGAAGATGATGGTGATGATAATGGTGATGAGGAGGAGGAGGAGGAGGAGGAGCATGCGGATGATGATGATGATGGTGATGGTGGTGGTGATTGTGATGCTGATGGCAATGATGATGATGCTGCTGATGATGATAATGCTGATGCTGGTGTTGGTGGTGGTGGTCATGATGACGTTGATGATAATAGTGGTGGTGGTGTTGATGATGTTGATGATGAGGACGGTGCTGATGATGATGTTCAGAAGGAGGTGGAGGAGCCTGCGGATGATGATGATGATGATGATGATGATGATGATGATGATGATGCTTATGATGCTTATGATGATGATGTTGATGATGGTGATGATGAGGATGACGATGATGATGATGATGGTGGTGGTGATGGTGGTGGTGATGATGGTGCTGATGATGATGTCGGTGGTGACGATGAGCATGATGATGGTGATGATGATGATGACGGTGCTCGTGATGGTTCTGATGCTGTTGTTTGCCATGATGATGGTGATGGTCATGGTGTTGGTAATGTTGATTGTGATGGTGGATCGCGATGGTGATGGTGATGAGCATGAGGGCGAGGGTGCGGAGTCCGATGCAGCTGCACATCAGGATGAGGACAAGGGTGATGGAGTGATGGATATGGTTATTAGGTTGAGGGTGCGGACAAGGGTGAGGATGATGATGATAATGTTGATGATGATGATGACGATGATGACGGTGCTGATGATGAGGAGGAGGATGCTGATGATGTTGATGGTGATGATGCTGATGTTGATGAGGATGACGATGCTGATGATGATGATTCCGATGCAGATGCTGTATATGTAGTGCATATGTAGGTGTAGATGTCGATGTAGATGTGGATGTTGATGTATACGTACACGGCTATGCATGCTGATGTAGAGCCTGATATCGATGCACATTATGATGTAGATGGTCATGTGGATGGTGATGATGCTGATGAAGATGGCGAGGGCGGTGATGATGAAGATGCTGAGGATGATGATGATGATGATGATGATGATGATGATGATGATGATGATGATGATGATGATGATGATGATGATGAATATGATCGCGCGGGTGTTGGTGTTGTTGTTGATGGGCTTGTGGTTGATAATAATGATGGTGGTTGTGATGCTGATGATGCTGATGATGTTGATGATGATGCTGTCTACTTAGTTGTATATTCATGTAGGTGCAGATGTAGACGTAGATGTAGTGGCAAATATGAGTAATTGCATCAACAGTGGCATTCAATTTCGCCACCTCGCCTGGGTCTTGGACCAGAGGCTTCTCATATGCCTTGTAATGTCTCTGGGAGGCCTCCTGGCTGCCTCTTCGAGGCCTCTTGAAGTTTTCTTTGGGCCTCGTGGGTGGTTCTTGGGGGCCTCTGTCGGGGCGACATTGGAAGCCTCTTGGACCGCCCTGGGCTCTCTCGAGATTAAAACCGAGTGTGCTTCAACTGCGTATGATCTCCCAACCACGCTCCCCAGGGTTCCCTGAAGAAGTCACGCGAGCCGCCCTGGTAGCTCACAAGAGCTGCTCATGCATGGATGGGTGTGGCGTCAGGCAGGCCCAGGAGAGATATGGATCGCTCCCGAACGCTCTGCGCCCTGGAACGGCCGCGGCGCCTTGTACAATACATCCTGGGCCAGTAGGTTTTAAGCGATCCCCTGTGTGTCCCAACCCTGGTTCGGCTTCAGCTTGGCTTCGTCTGATGGCAACAACTGCGGGAGGGCGTGGCAGGAGAGGCGGGAGGCCCAGGGGTTGATGTGGTGGGCGCGTGAGGCGGGAGCCGTCAGAGCGGCGTAGCTCCGACCGCCTTTCCCCAGGGGGAGGGGAGGAGGACGAGGACGCGGACGACGCCAGCCCGTAAGAGGGACCCTTCGCCGGAGCGTCCCTCGGTGCGGGCCCACTGGGACCTCCCCGATCGCTGAATGCGATGCGATGGCAGCGGCCAGGGCGCATTCGCCGCAGGAACACCCAAGGCTTCGCGCGCCTGCCGCAGGCTCACGCGAGCCCCAGCAGCGCCCCCGCAGCGGCCACCCCTGGGCCCAGCGACGCGGCCGCGCGGCCGCGCGGGAGGGCCCGGGGCGCTCTGGGGGCGCGCGCCGCCCATCGCCCGGGCGTGCCCTCCGCGAAGGCGGCCACTCTCGCCCTCTCGCTCTCTCTCTATCGATTCTGAGGCGGCCGCTCTCGCCCTCTCTCTCTCTTTCTCGCTCTCCGCGACGGCGGCCGCTCTCACTCTCTCTCGCTCTCTCGCTCTCTCTCTCTCTTTATCGATTCTGAGGCGAAGACAGGGGCGAGAATAGCCCAGGGGCGGGCATTACACGTACTCGCCCTGGAGCCTCGCCGAAGGCATGAATCATCGGCGCCCCTGGATGGATGTACTGCTCTCCCCTGGGCTAGTCGCCCCCATCGGCGCCCCCGATCGATCGCTCGCTCTCGCCGGCGAGCCTCGCATCCCCACTGAATTCCGTCTTTCGGGTGTGTCGGCGTGCGCTAGCGTTCGGTAAGTCATCAGAGAGCGCCGATGTAGTGTCGATTGAGCGTCGGTCAGCATCGATTCGCAAGAGCCAGCAATCTGGCATGAGATGATCCCATGGGTTTCGGCGGCGCGCCCTGGGGGGGGGAGTGAGAAGGAGGAGGGCGCGCGCCGCCCGTCGACCTTGCGTGCCCTCGGCGAGGGCGTCCGCTCATTCTCTCTCGATCGCTCGCTCGCTCGCTCATACGTATATATCTAGTTTTCTTGTCTCGGGGGAACAAGCATGGCTTAAACATACCCTGTTGGAGGTTCGCACGGATTTCTCGGATCGGTACTGGAGCCCCCCAGGCGGCGCTTCCGGCGCCGCCTTTGGCGCTTCGCGCGCCCCAGAGGAGGGTCCAACACCAATCCAAGAAATTAGCGTGGACCTCGAAAAGTTCACGTTTAACATAGTGTGTTCCTCTGTTATGTTCTGGCGCCTAACGGTCTTTGCCTGGGCCAACCAACCTCCCCGCCCCAGGTGACGCCCTCGAGCAGGGCTCCGCTTGTTGGCCACTTAAGGGACCGTGTTCGTCTGGCGGAGTGGAGACAAAACGAGGGATAACGACAGCAAGACAAACACAAAAAACACTGTTTAGGTCGAGCCCTGCTCGGGACGCGGGCCGCCCGTCGGCCAGACGTGCTTCCCCGCGAAGACGAACGCTCTCTCTCTCTCTCTCTCTCTATCTCTCTCTGTCTCTTGATCGACCCGTTGCTGGCTCTCAAAGTCTGCCCTGGCCCACGAGCATCTGGCACCTGGGAGTCAACCCTAATGGGGTTCTCGCCCGTAGGGTCCTCGCCGCAGGAATCGCCACAGTCCCCGCCAACAGGGCGCCCGTGAGTTCTTGGGCAACCAAGGATCCTCACCCATGGAGTCCTTGCCCATAGGCTGTCGGCGAGCTTCTCGCCCGTAGGATCTCGGCACCCGCTCTTCCTCACCGACCGCAAGCTCGCTCGCTCGTGCAAAAAAACACGACGGACGATCAGTGTTTTTTTTGGTTTCCAGGATCCCTTTTCGGACCCCCGTGCTTTCAGAACACGACCCAAGATGAACATACGTCCAGGGGCCCATTTGGCGAAATGAACCTGGGGCAACCCCAATTGTGGGCCTGTTTCTTTCCAAAACAATTCAGGGCAATGCAAAGCAGTGCAATGCAAAGCAGTGCAGTGCAAATTTGTGTTTGCCATTGCGGTGCATTCGTTTGCACGATTTTGTTATGTGTTGCATAGTTTTGCGTCGTAGGCAGTGCTTGGCATTGCTTGACCTTGCTTGCATGCTTTGCATAGCTTGGCGTTCCCTGGCATTGCCTTTGCATTCCTTCGTTGTGCTTGCGAATGTTTCACATTCCACAACCAGACTGGGTGACCCTGAGAACGTCGGGCATTCAGGAAAGGTAACCCTGAAAAGCATTGCTTGGCATGTGCTTTGCATTGCTTGGCATTGCCTCGCATTGCGTGGCATCGCGCAACCTGACAACCATGGGCAACCCCGACGAAAGCCGGGCAATAGGGCAATGGGACAACCCGAGGGACCAGACAACCCCGGGCAACCCCGACGAACGCGGGGCCCATGGGCGCCCACGGGCACCCACCAGGGGAATCCCTGGCTGACTTACCCAGCGCGCGAGGCGCCCTCGGGCGGGCACCAGGCGAAACTTCATCTGGCCCACTCAGGAACACGAGGCGTCCACGAGACGCCCTCCAGGCGAAACGCGAAAGGCGCCCACGGGCGCCCACCAACCAGGCACCAGCCGAAACATCGTTTGTTCCATCTCACTCGTTGCGTAAACCAAGAAAGACCGAAGACCCCCTGAGTGCCAGCGCTGTCTGCATAATCTATTGTACTGTCTGTTTGGCGGTGTCAGTCTTAGAGTCCGCGTCTCGTGCGCGCTGCTCGCGATGGAAGGGCGCGCCGCCGATGCCGGAATGGGTCCGACCGGCGGTCAACACAAAGAGGCCTAAGGTTGCGGACATTCCTACGACCTTTGGCAAGTGCCGTCTGAGCGACGGAAGACAAAGGGGCGGCTTGCGCCGACATTCGTGCGCAAGCTGCCGGCGTAAGGCCGCGCGTGAGCGGCCTCGTTTTAGATGTGACGTGCCGCGCTGGTGGTTCCCAGTTAGCTGCGGCGTAGGGTCGCTGCGTCATCTCGCGCCAGACCCGCTTCTGATCTTCTCTCGTCTGCGCAGGAGACAGCAGATCACGGCGGTCGCGAGCAGGATCCCACCGTTGCTGCTGGAGTGCGGGGCCGCTGATTCGCCACCACCGACGTGGGCACCACCGGATGCCACCCCTGCAAGTAGTTCGGTATTGGGATTGGTTCGCATGACGCTCACACACCAGTTACTGCAGGTAAGCAGCCAGGGCCTGCCCAGACAAGTACCAGCGGGGCCGACTTGCTTCGAGGCCAACTCTCATTGTGAACTTCAGCAGACGTGACGACGTCAGCCGTGCTCCAGACCAGCTCGGCACACGCCGCCGCACGTGACACTACGCGCGGAAAGGTTGACGTCGTCGTCCAAGCAGAGGCGCATCCGATCAGCTGACGGTTACCTCGCCAACCTTACCGAACAATCGTTCTTGTTCATGGGGGTGTCATGGAGCACACAGGTCGAGCCAGTCATGCATGGGCTTACGTGAACTGTGAGGGCCTTGCCTTCGGCACGTGCGGCAGCCTCGATGAGCCCATCGCCAGTGGAATGGAGACGGGCAGTCAAGACGCGAGAGGTCGACGATGAGGATCGGCGGCGCGCCCGGGGGGGGGGGGACTGGGCGGAAGCAGGCTTTCTCAGGAGGCGGCGGGGCTTCTCAGAAGCCCTCTGCCCTTCTGAGGAGCCGTCCCTGTCTCCGGAGAAGGCCTTGAACTCTTCTCAGCAGGCCGGAGGCCCTTCGAGCCTGCCGAGAAGGTCCGCCCCCCTCGGGCCTCCCCCCGGGCTCGCAGCCGAGAGGAAGAGGAGGGCGAGTGCGGAATAGTTCAGGATCAGCCTGCCTCTGGAGAAAGGCCTAGGAAGGGAGAACGGCGGGCGGATACGCACACGTTCTTTTTTTTTTTTTTTACCTCCGACGCGGCGATGCGGTTTTCACCCGTGGCACGGCCACGGGTATCGTCAGCAGCGAGTCGGCCGCCTTGTGTGGAGGCGTGTGTCAGACCGGAAATCCAGAGTGCGGCCACGCCGAGGCGAGCCAGCGAGGAGCCTAGGCAGCCGACGCGTGCGCACACGCGCGCACGTAAGAAATGCCAGTCGCCGGAGGAGCCGGAGGAGGAGGAGGAGGAGGAGGAGGAGGAGGAGGAGGAGAAGGAAGAAGAGGAGGAGGAGGAGAGGGAGGGGGAGGGGGAGGAGGGAGGGGGAGGGGGAGGAGGAGGAGGAGGAGGAGGAGGAGGAGGAGGAAGAAGAGGAGGAGGAGGAGAGGAGAGGGAGGGGGAGGGGGAGGAGGAGGAGGGGAGGGGGAGGAGGAGGAGTGGGAACTGAGCGGCAGGCGGCGGAAGGCGGAGGCACCAGGAAGGGGGAAGCGCGAAGTCTCACACCATGACCCTGAACGTGTGGGACCACATCGAATCCTTGCGCCGCTTCCCGTCAGTTGTCCCCCACGCTGCATCAATAATGCGGGATGGAAGAAGATGGAAGCGCAGGAGAGGGAGGAGGAGGAGGAGGAGGAGGAGGAGGAGGAGGAGGAGGACTCCTTTGCGCAAACCAAGTGTGGACCTTTGCTGATAAGGGGGAATATTTGCATATCTCTGCGGTGTCAGTCTCAGAGTCCGCTTCTCGGGCGCGCGATGGACAGGCGCGCCGCCGATGCCTGAGTGGGTCCGACAGGCGGTCAACACAACGAGGCCCAAGGTTGCGGACATCACCACACCCTTTCGTGAGTGCTCATCGCGAGAGGGAGGATTGGGATGAGGATAAGGATGAGGAGAAAGAGTAGGAGGAGCAGGAGGAGGAAGAGGAGGAGCAGGACGGAGAAGGGTGGTCTGGGAGTGGGACAGGGGGGCGGCGGAGGGCGGCGATGCAGCGGAGGAAGAGGGAGCATGCGTTGGGGGGAACGGCAGGGGGCAGATGATCAGGATTTCGTGGGCCCTGGCAACAGCAAGGCTTTCGTTTCTTTTTTTTTCTATACTGCCCTCTTTCAAAAAACTGCCTCTTGATCATGAGCACGGCAAAGCATGTGTTCACCTGGAACGTTATTGAGCAAGAAACATATTGGGCAGCTTGGGGATCCGAAAGACCTTGGGAAGTGGTTCAAAAACGGCTCGGATCCGGTAAACAACTGTGATCTGGACCAGGCCCCCGCCAGAGGACACGAAAACGGTTCAGTAGCGGTGCTGGAAACGTCCAACACAACGGCGTTGGAAACTAGAAAGCAGCTTGAAGAACGGAACGAACAAAAAACAAATGCCTTGTCGTTTCCAGGGGCCACCAAGGAGCATGACAATTTCATGTCAAGATGAGGAGGATGAAGAGTTGGTGCGATCGGAGAGGAGAGCAGCGAGGAGGGAGTCAGGAGTGTGGTCTGCATTTGCACAGGCGGCGGGTACTTTCCGGACGAGCTTTCTCGGTGGCGAACATGCCTGAGGCTTTTGCTCACGCCTTGGATGTTGCATGTACGATTGGTGGAGGAGCATGTTAGCCATCATCCGAGTGGGCGATTCGTTCTCTCGGGCGAAGTGACAAACACGCCGCAATCCGAAAAGCAATGTTAACACGTAAGGAGAATGCGGTTGGGCAGAATTGCCGAGAAAGGGCCCTACCATGAGTCTTGGGTATTGGTTTAGGTAAGGATCTGCCAGCGTTATGTGTTCGTCTTGCGAATCAGTGCATGCGCTGAGTGTGTTTTGCACCTCCTCTTTGGTTCAGAATTGCGACACGGTGCCATCGGTATATGCCAATTACCCTGAAACGCCTTAACTGTCATTTCCCCAGTGCTCGACGGTGCCGACAATTTCGGGTATTGATTCTTGACGCCAGCCCAGATCGGCCTAGATTGGCCCTGTCCTCCGCTGCGTTTGAGGTGCGTTTGCCGCTTGTAGCTGAGCTGCCACCAGCCCCAACAAGCCACGACTAGCCCCACTGCCCTTCGGTGGCAACGGCGCCCGTGGCTTCCACCAGCCCAGGCTATCTCCCACTAGTGGGGGTGGAGGTGCATGAGGCGTGGGAGAGGGGGATGAGGAGGGAAGATAGGATGAAGAATTGGCGATTGGCACATTCCATGCTGGTGTGAAACGTGTGTCAGGGCAGTGGATGGCAGACGGGGTATGGGTTAGACGTGCATCGTGCCCTTGCTTCTCGGACGCGTAGTATGCTCCGCTGATGCTATCGCCTCGCCCGCATTCGGCCTGTCGCCATATCTCGAGTCATGCCAGGGAAAGGATGTTATGCATGTGCGGCCTGAATGCCACATCGATGTGAGGGCAGGGAGGAGGAGCGGATGTTTGGCCAGAGATGCGAGTGGGGTGGACGGCGTTTGTGGTGGAGCCGCGGGGTTTGTGCGAACCTCGGGGACCCTGAAAAGGTCAGTTGAGGGAGAATGCGTGCCTCGCATGTGAGCCGCGAGGCTTGCGCGAACCTCGGGGGCCCTGAACAGGCCCGCTGGGGGGAGTCTGCCGGCCTCGCGCGCCCTCGAGCGCCCCCCTGGGAGCCCAGGAGTGACCTTCCGAACGGGGGCTGCCAGGGCGCGGCTCGCTGGCTCCTGCGCCGCAACACCATGTCGAAGTGCGATGGCCCGACAAGACGTCGCGATGTCTCGAGGTCCAGGGCGAGGCAGCGAGCTGGGGAGACACTGGCCTCCCCCCCCGACCTCGATTCTCAACTGCTGCTCAGGGGTCCGCCCCCCCTGCTATCATATATGCCGATGTTTGGATGGATCGACTCACAGGATGCATCGCTGCACTGCCAAGTCATATAATACTCGATTATGTTAGATCTTCACATGGTTTAGGGGATGTAAACTTCTGTTGGGTATCCTGAGAGGTGGTGACATAATATGTAAGCACCCACAATTCTCACCAGACAGTGGTCGTTTCTAGGCAATACGCCGACAAGGGGAGCACTGTTCATTTCATCTGTATTGGAACATCCGATTCTGCACATGTGGTCGACTCGACCTTCCCTGCGGAGTGGTAACTTCTTCTACCACGTAAGCTACACACTCCCGCTTATACTTAGGCTGCTCGAGAACAGCGCACGCGTGAGTCATTGCTGTGATGTCTAATGCTCTCATTGTTTAAACCTGCAGTTGCAATCCACGAGGCATCGAAGGTGGTCTAACAAGCCTTCAGACGGCCGCGTGCGCCCCCGAGCGGTCTCCGATACGGCCTGACGAGGCCTTACGAGACAAGGCAGCGTAAGAGGACACAGAAGCGGCAGGAGCATCCAAGACGCCACAAAAAGACCCCGACACCTCCACCCTTGATTTCCCTGTGTTCAGGATGCCTGTGGAAGACGACGAATGAGGGTGCAAGGGTGGAGGAGTACCACTGACCAGGTGTCAGCTTCATAACGCCAGTGGCCGAGTAGGCGCCACAACGAATGCAAAAAACAATTGGTCGATAGCGAAACCTAACTGCCCAAGCCATCACGGATGGACCAGAGCCGAAACGGGCCGGAGCCGAAACGGGCCAGGACGAATCAGGCCAGAGCCGAATCGGTCTCAAACCGAATTGGACCGGCGCCACCAGGAACCGGAATTTGCCGGAGTTGGAACGAGGCGAAGCCGCGGGCCTGGGCTGGAACGGTCCACAACCGAAACGGGCTGGGACGAAACGGACAAGAGCCGAAATGGAGCGAGACGAAACGGGCCAGAAGCGAAACGGGCCGGGCCTAAACGGACCTAAACCGAAACGGGCCGGGTTGAAACGGACCGAAGCCGAAACAGATTGATGAAGCCGAAACGGGCCGGAGCCTAAACGGGCCGAAACCGAAAACGTTTTTTTGTTCCAAGGGGCCAGACGATTTTTTGTTCCAAGGGGCAGGTAAATGAATAGAACAATAAATTTAACGCCAACCGGAATTGTCAGGACATGCCGTTTTTTGCATATCTCCATTAATCGGAGGTTGAGAGACCTCGTTTCCTGACACGTTGATTAGCGAATTGGCCGTTTTCGGTTCGCGAGAGGGCGTCGCGGCCGTATTTTTTGCGGACCCAGGTCCGTCGGTTTCGGTCCTAGGCTGTTTTCATTGGTTTACTAAAGGGAGGCTTGTCCGCCGCCGAATTAAACAACTCCTTCAATTGCATAGCGGTTTGGTTGTGTTTTTGGGGGAGCCGTACATTGTGCGCGGGGAACCTCACATAGTGATAGTAAATTCGTCATGTGGAAACGGAGGAGGGGGAGGAAGAAGAGGAGGAGGAGGGTGAAAGGGAGGGAGGCGGCAGGATGACGACGAGGTTCGGTCGGGGCCGGGCCCGCAGGGATCGAGCGTGGCCTTGCACAGCCTCTCCAACAACAAGGGGGTCGTCGGGCGGGGTTGGCCACCCTGCTGCTGCATTCTCCTCTTCATCATCCTCCTCCTCATCCTCCCCCTCCTCTCGGCTCTCGACTCTCCCCGACCCTGCTCTTCCAGCCAGCTTCCTCCCGCTCTCCGCCTGTGGCGCGCCCAAGGGGTTTGGCGCGAGTGGGGCGGCATTTTACGGAGGCAGGGAGCTTCTTAGAAGGCACCGGTCTTCTTAGAAGGGCCTGGCGTCCTTTATAAGAAGCTATCTTCAATTAGGGGAGGGCTTCCGAGAGAGCCCCCCTTCGCGCACCCCCTTGTGCGCCGGCAGTTCAGTTCTTCACTGCTCCTTCCCCCCCACCCTCCAGGCTCGATCCTGAGTGCGCCATCAGCCACGGCCCGAGCCCCGCGCGCTGGTCCGCCCTGAACTGGGCCGCATTTGCTCCGCCAGGCTCCCGCGGGGGTACCGAAGATGGCGAGGTGCAGGCTGCAGTGAGCGAAAAATCACGGCGGGAGGCCTTTGGGGGCCTTTGCCGGGCCCTGGTGCTGTCGAAATGCGCGATGGGATGATTAGCCGTGTCCTTGGGAAGGGGTTCAGAGTCCGTATCGCCCCAGAGCGTTCCAGAATGTTTTCCGAGCGTTCTAGAGCGCTCTGGAACGGCTGAGGCGCCTGAAACATCCTCTAGGCTTGCCAGCTCTCAGAGATTTCTTACCTCCATCCGACCTGATATTCGTCCTGCCTTTTGCTTTACGCCGCGAGCACGGCGTCGAAATGTCTGGGTCACGTGCCGGGGCATCTGGCTGGTCGGGCAGATGATCGATGTTGCCAGCTTTCTTTTTGTCACACGATTTGCGGGGGGGCCGTCTTTGAGACCAAATAGGGCCGCCAGATCGTTGGCCAAAGTGCCGGTTATTTGGAGTACCCGTCATGGAGGCGTTGAAAGAGGTCCCGAGGGTGGTGTCCCATGAGACCCTGGCGTTGTATTCTCGCGCCGCCCGGCAGGCCTGATTGAGGATTAATTTTGAATTCAGCCTCGGCGATATGAATGATTCCCGTGTTATCCTCCTCCGAATTTGTTGTTTTGTTTTTGTCTTATCCGTGGACGCGTCCAGGATGTTGAATTGAGCCTCGGCGTTGGTGTTTCCGTAGTCGTAAGTCATTCTAGCTTGGCCCAGTGTTTTTTATCGATATGAATGGGCTTGATCGTGAGCGCAATCCAGCTCGCCACGGTTTCACGGTCCCCAAGTCGGGCTTGATGGCTCCTTTTCGTTCCCACGAAGACCTCCCAGTCGTGATGGGTTCCGGTTCTCTGAGTCGCAATCCTGATGCGTACCCCATGGGCTTCACAGAATAATTTCCGTGCGCAAGCAATCACTTCGCAGCGTTTCCCAGCATATCCCGAAGATTTGCCAATGGCCCACTCTTCTGCCCACAAGTCCCTCTGGTCGGCAATCATGTCTCCCCAGTCCCCAGAACCACGTTCCCACGATTTGAACATTGAAATGATGAGAGTCATCCTGAGTTACGGCGCGGCTTTTGGAGTGGTCGCCCCGCCCACGTCCCATTGTCAAACCTATTTCGGCTATGATGCATAATTCATACATGATTTGCGGATGCCCAAGGGGCCCCAACATCTCCTCATCTCCCCTTCTGCTAACTATCTGCTCATCCTCCGCCTTTGCCCCTCGCTTCTCGTCGCCTCGCCCCCCTCTCCCCCCTCCTCTCCAGGGGAGGGGGAGGAGGAGGATGCCGCGGGGGCGGGGGGGTGTAGCGCCAGCAGTTGCGGCAGCAGCAGCAAGGGCAACGGAAGCCTTTCCTGCCGCAGCGCCGGCGGCAACGCCAGCATTTGAGGAAACGCTCAAGGGGGGGAAGAGAGAGAGGGAGAGCGGGCCCCCGCTATCGCGACGCAGGGGTTCGGCGTCTGTTTCCGCTGGAATTATTGACCATTTGCGTATCCCCACCAGTTTCCCCCTGGCCGCTTGCAGTCAGCTCAGCCAGCTCCCCTTCAGCCCGCGGCCCCACCGGCGGCTGCTTCTGAGTGCGGGCTCGGCCGTTTCGCTTTTAGGCTTGCGCGTGGCCAATTTGACAGGCCCGTGGCACGGACCTCTCACTCGGCGACTGCGAATCCGCGTCCGCCCGCGACCAAAAAGTATCCCCACCAGTCAGCTCAATTCCCTTACCTGGTGACTCAGCTCCCTGGTCTTTGCACGCTTGCAGCTCCCTGGCAGCCCCAACAGCTTGCAGTCCCCACCCCCGGCGCTGCAGCGCAGCCCTGGCGCTGCTGTTCCCCGGCGGTAGCTCCTGCTCTGCTCTCCGCGCGCGCCGGCAATTAGTTCCGCTCGTAGCCCGAGCTGACTCGACTCGCCGCTGGCGCCTTCGCTTGCGGTTGCGACAAAAGTACCCCCACCACTTCCGACTCTGAGACGCCGCGCGGGTGTCCGCTGGCAGTCGCGATCAAACAAATATCCCCACCACCCGTTTTCGTTTTTCTCCGCCGCGTTTCGGCTCTATCGCTCCTGTGGGCCGCGTCCACCACCTGCCTGGTGCTCTCGGGGTTGCTTCAAGTTTTTTTCGTTCGGCAAGGGTGGCTACGCCCTTGGTCTTCGTGCCCTTTCGTCTTCGGCACGCTCTTCTGGCGGCGGCTTCGCGGGCCGGGCGGTACTGGTGCACTTCCCTTACAGCCCGCTGGATGCCGCTCGCCGCATTGTTTTCCCTTAGCTACGGAGCGCGGCTCGACCTAGCATGCTCGGCGTTCGACTCGTCTTCTCGCGCCCGCGGACCTAAAAATATCCCCACCAGCCCATCCACACACCATTGGAGGCTGTCTTGAGGTTTCTCGGAGGCTATCAGGGGCCATGTTCCGCTGAGCCGAGCCACGCTCGGCTATCTTGGGCCACACTGAGGCTATCCTGGGCCCTCGATGGAAGCCTGCTGGGGGCTACATTGAGCCGCGTCCGGCGATCTCGGGCCATCTTGAAACCAATGTTTGGGTATATGGGGTTTTGTTGGACCACCTCGGGCCCAAACGGCGGGGTGGAGGGGGGGGATGGGGGAGTGGGGGGGGAGGGGGGTGGATGGGGTGGAAGGGGGGAAAGGAGGTCGGGGGGGCCTGAGCGGCTCCTCGGGGCAATCGTGCGCGGCGCCACCGCGAACAACAAATCCGAATGTCCACTCCCGCCATCGGAGGCTCCGAAATATTGCGTTGAAATCATACTTGGGCGTTTTCGGACCGTTCTTGGGCGCTCGTGAGGCCTTCTTGGGCCCCTCTTGTGGTTCTTTCGGGGTTTTCTTGGGTCACTTTCGGGCCTTTCTCATGCATTCGAAGCAAATGCGATGCGGATTGCCGCAGCCCGTTCGCCCCCCGCCTCGCGTCGGCGGGCAAAAAAAAGTCACCCGGCCGCCGCGCGCAGCGCATCAAGCCAAAGAGCGCCACGAACGGGGCGGCCGCCTCGCCCCGAACAGCGCCCGCCCGCCGAAGTGCGTGCGTGCATGGGCGAACATGCGGGGACCGAGCAGGTCGCGCAGACCCTGCCCCGATCCCCGCGGACGCGGGCCTTCGGCCCCGCCGGATCCCGCGGGATCCCCCCATTCCGCCTGACCCCACGGGGTTCGTGCAAGCGCACGCCCTTCCGTCGGAAAGCAACGAGGGCCACGCCCGACCGCCGGAGACGGCGCTGCGCGCGCAGGCCCGGTAAGCCGCCCACCCACGTCCACAAATTTGCCCACGATTTCTGGGGCGAGGAATTCCCAACCGAAAACTTCATTTGGGACGGCGTCGCCTGGCCCCGCAGACGGGAAGACGAACGGGGGCGCCGCGTGCGCTCCCGCAACGATGGTGGCCACACGAAGCGTAGTGGCCACATCGTATGAAAATAGTGGCCACGTCTCAAATAGCATTAAGTCGCATCGCCAGGAACGAGTGGTCACACCCAAACTAGTAGCCACATCGACAAACATCGGTGGTCACATCATCACAGAATTGTGGTCACACATGACGCTTCCACATTCACCGCTGTGACGCCCGCATTATCCGTAGCGGTGCTTCCTAGGCCAGTCGAGGGCCCGCGCCCGCGGCGTTCGCTTCGACCCGCAAGTCGCAACGGACCATCAACGCACTTGCGATTCGGAGCCCCGGGGCGCCCGCCGCGGCATTGCGGGGGGCGCGAAGAACGCAGGTCAGGACAAATACATGGCGCGTGCCCCGAAAGCGCGCAATGCAAAGAATGGCCAACGCGGGCCCACCTGAATGTAGATCCCCCCCCAACGGAGGCCCAAAGATGGCGGGTCGAGATCCTCTTTCGGCGCTCTTGGAGCGCCCTTTGGGCGTTCTTGGGCCCTCTTGGGCCCCTCTTGGGGCTCTCTGGGGGTTCTCTTGGACCATTGTCGGGCCATCCGCATCCGAAGCGAATAGGTGAGAAGGTAAACCGACATCAATGTCCTTCGGCTTGTTCGAAGATTGGGCAGCTTTGAGGGTGTTTTTGGTGAGATTGACTGGCGATTGGAACCGTCTTGTGGCCATTTTGGGGTCTCTTTGAGGTCAGTTGGAGGCTAGATTGCGCCATGTTGGTCTATCTTGGTCCATCTTGGAGGGAGGCCATCTTTCGCTCTCTTAGGCGCTCTCCTAGGCCCTCTTTGGGCCATCTGAGGCCATCTCGGCCGCTCACACGCCTCCAGCCCCCCCTCCAAGTCCAGGGTAGGGAGTAGAGGGACGGGCGAGACTTCGCCCGGGCAGGGGAAGGAAGGGGTTGGCAGAGAGAAGAAACTGATTCGTGATAACACCTACGCCCAGAGGGCTGGTGGGATTAGGAGGGTCGGATATGTGGATCACTTCTTCCTGTACCTTCGCTTCGTTTTCTTTCTGCTCGTCGTCCTTTTCTTGCTCGCGCACTCCCCGTGCTCACCCTCTCTCAAGGCCATTTGTTGGCTTGCTTGGATTCCTCATGCCCGCCCGAGGACACGCCGGCGATTCCCACGTTCCCTGGCGAGCCCAGGAAGCCCCTGCTCGTTTCGAAACGGTGCCCCACATAGCCTCCACAGGCGCCTTCCAGGCCAATGTCCAAGAAAACATGGCGTCTCGCCGTCGGCGAGCCGCCGTCTCGCGCAGAAACACAAAACTGAAAATTGTGGGCGACCTAGTGGGCATCTGGGTTGCCCTGGGGAAGCAGGATGAGCGACTCTGGATGTCCGGCTCAGTGGTGGTGCTGGTGGAGGAGGACCTCCCAGGAGCTGCCTCTTAACACGGGGGGGGGGCCGTGGACGCGCCTGCGGGAGCGGGCCCCCGTCCCCCCCACGCTCCCCTGCCGGGAGCGGAGGCGCCGAAGTGGACCATGCAGGCGAGGCGCCCAGAGGCCGCGAGGCGCCCTGCCCCCCCGGCCCCCGCCGCCCGCCCCCCCCCTCTCCCGCCTTCAGCTTCCGGCGCTCGACCTTTTCCTCCACCTCCACTGCGATGCGCTTCCTGGCACATCAGATTCAGAATCGGCGCTGGCAAATCCCTGTTCGAGAACTCTGGCCTCATCTGGTTTTGTCCCGCTTGATCCGGCTCGGTCCCAGGCGTAATTGGGCCTAATCCGGTTTCAGGGGCCTCTGATCGGGCGTAATCATTGGCCCTCAAGCGTTCTGACGAGTATCACTCAGAAGTTGCCTCTTAACCCCCAGCTAGCTGCCGACCTCTAGTTTCACACGTCTGCGCTTCAGCTCCAACTAGCACCCAGACGCAGGACCTCCAGCTCCCGGGCACCACCTCACCATTACGACTTCCAGTTTCCGGCTTGCAGCTAGGGAAATATTCGCGTGAGTCCGAGTTATACAGAGTTCGAGAGGTTACGGCCACACGTGCCTAGCCCACACGGACATTCGTCACACGCGCTCAGCCGCATGAGCCTGCACCTTTACCTCGCTCGTTCGCCCCCCCCACCCACACCCACCCACGTCACGTCTCACTGCGAAGATGAGAGGAGGAGATCGATGACAGGTCAGCGACACAAGCATTAATGTTCAAGGTTTCGGTGCATCGGGTAATAAACGCTGGAGGACGACAACGGAGTAGGGCAATCAACGTTGAGGGACCGAGGATTTCAGCAAAGTGGTCTCCAAGAGGCCCTACATGGCCCCACAGCTGCCACCGCTGACCCAAAAGGGGCAGGCACAAATCTTCCAGGAGGGGGAAATGGACACATGCAACATTGATCACCCGGAAAACATTGAAAGTTGAAGGAAATACGAACATCTGGAATAATATAGAACAGTTGCGCTGATCGTTGTACTTGTGATTATGTATTTGTGTGTCCTGGGGCCTCTTATTCGTCGCCCCGCGCACACAGGGAGTTCAAAACACCCAGGACGTCATGCTCGGCCTCAGCCTCGCGGCCGCCTACTCTAAAACCATATGTTTAAAATTATTTGTTCTGTTCCATGCCTTGCCGTCATCGCGCGAGTGATATTCGAACACCTATTTGGAGCCCCAGCTAGTGTTGAGCATGTTCTGTTGGTGTGTGTGTGTGGCCACTGGGGCCCTCTGCAATGCTGGGGCTTTGTGGCGTTGCGTTTCTGCCTGGACTGCGGTGAATTTGACGCGGCTCTCCACCGAACATATGATTAAACGTTTTCCTGGCCAAAGCAGGGGATAATTCCCGGGCCAAGAGACAGTCGTCGCAGCGATCGCAGCTGGCGAAGACGGCCCGTTTTTTTGCCGGGCTCTGGGCTGCGAAGCCAGGCATCTCACATTCCGTATGGGGCTGGCACCTGCAGCGCTCCGACGCGGGAGGCTCGTGCGACCCATCAACATTTAGTAGGGAGGGACGGGACCTTCCGCGCGCTATACCCAGATCATCTGGTCAGATCGTCCTAGGACCCGTAGATTGCGCGGCCCTCCTCGAAAGACAGAAGCTCCAGGTCGCCGTCAACGGATCATGGCCGTTTCCGGACCATTGGTCATTGCGACGAAGTTGCCGGCAGATTTTTGGCCGGAAGTCAGGGAGACAAGCGAGTTGCAAGGGGAGCCCGTGCTCTACTTTCTGGGCTAACGGTAGATTCCGTTGCGCCACGCGTCTTAAGAGGGCTTCCCCACGAACCAATAGACCATGCTCAGAGGTGGCCACCCATGCTCGTGGGAGATGACCCGTACGTTGCATGTCTGATGGATTTTTGGATCCAAGTTTCCCATCGGTTTCTGTGTAGCTTGCGGCGGTTATACGTCCAGCGTTGCGAATCGCAAGCTCAGCGCTAGATGTGCCAGAACGGTGGCATCGGAGCTCCGGGAGCTTCGTGAAGGCCAGGTCTTTGGTACTAAGCTTCCCCAGACGTTCAGTAGTGCAATGCCTACTTAACAAGTGCAGCCGTGGTGCCTGCTGGGATCGGCTTGTCATGGCGTGGGGTTGCCCTGTGAGATGGCCAGTAGTAGTGGCAGCTTTTTTGTTGCAATTTGCCCCCGCCCCCGCCCCCGCCGATTGTTATGAAGGCGCCCCCGCGCCGCGCGCCCCCCATTCCCCCTCCCTTTGCCTCGACGTCTTCGACTTTGGCGACGGCAGCGGCTTCCTTTGGAGCCGCCGGGGAATGAGTGGCGGATGCCGAGGTCAGCACAGCAGGCGCAGATGCGTGGGACACGCATGGCCATTGCTTCCTCCTTGTGTCTCTTGTGGTAGTCCTGGGCCTCTGGTTTTGGTCTTGGTGCTGGTGCTGGGGCCATTCCTGGAGCCTCCTGGACCTTCCTGGGGGCCTCTAGGTGGCCTCTCGGGGGCTTTCTGTGGGCCTGTTGGGGGCCTTGGGGGCGTCTTGGGGGGCTTCTTTGGCCGTCGTAGGGCGTGGCGGCCCTGGCCCGTCGGAAGCCGTGTTGGGGGCCTCGCCGGGCCGTATTGGGACCTCCTTGGTGCGCTTCACGGCCGTCTGGGAGGCCCCCTCGGGCGTTTTGGATGCCTCGTGGGTCGTCTTGTTGCCTTCTTGGGGCCGTCTTGGAGGCCCGTGGCCCGTCGCGGGGTCATCTTGGGGGCCTCTTGGGCCGGCTTTGGCTGTCGGAAGGTAGAGACAAGGCGCATAGTTTCTCGACTGCCAGAGGACGACGATGTGAGCCTCTTCGGGCCTTCCTGGAGGCCTCTTGGGGGCCTCTTGGGCCGTTTGGGGTCATCTTGAGGCCAGGGTGGTCGCTAGCGATGCCCATTGGGCCGTCTTGCGGCCCTCTTTGGGGCGACTTCGGGGCCTCGTGGACGGTCATGGTGTCGTCGTGGAGGCTTTTTTCGGCAACATTGGAGGACTCACTCTAAAGTGAGCTGGGGATACAGGTGAGTGGAACGAGCGTGCGCCCGCGGCCGCTTGGCTCAAAGCGGCCAGCCGCCCAGATCTGACTACACCTCAGCGCGAGGTGTACCGTTTGCCATCGAGACCAACACATCATTTGCTTGCTCGTCGTTCCCGCGACGATCTCCTACGACTGGGAGTATCGTTACTTCGGTACAAGAGAGCTGGAGCTGGGCTTCGCTTGAGGCGAAGCTGCTGGTTGGGCCTCCCCACCCCTTTTCAAACTTGGGAGCGGAGCTGGCCTATGGCGGTCAGCTCTTGCTCTACTCCTCACCATCCACGGGACTATCTGGTGGACTACTGACGTGGTGGAACATTAGGGTGCAGTGGGCTTGCGCGGAGGAATGTAACTGACTACGCAACCTAGAAGGGGCACTTGCAGTGATACCTCTGCCTACGCAGAGGCTTCTTACTCGCGTCCTACATCCCTGCGCTACTACACTCCTGAAGTCCACCCGCCTACTCCACTTGTAAACTTCTTCGGATACATAATGCATGGAAACATGCGATGCGACACTGCGCCGCCCCCGCCCCCGCGCAGGCTTACGACCACGCACCGCAAACCCCAACCAACCACATCCGACAACGACCTACGAGGCCATTGGATGGGCATAACTATCTTTGGGCTCGCATGGTTTGCTATCGGGTGCGCGACGGGACACATGCGTGGCGGAGACGACACAAGAACGACCGGCCCCAATCGGGCCCGTCCCGTCAAGTACGTTTTCCGCGAATGCGCTCGCGAGGCGCACGCTTGGATCAACGTGGCCACAGGCACCATGACGCCCTTCCAACAAGCTGCAGCCTTGCAGCGAGGCTTGGGGGCCTCGCACGGACCATAGCCATGAGAGCTCCCCCAGCAGTTATCAATTTCGGCGTAAACAAAGGTGGCCGTCATACCGGTGGCGCAACCTACATCATGTTCTTCTTAAGTACGAAGTCCGAGAACCTAGAAGAGGAACGCCAACCCAATTGCGATAAAGCTCCCATTGACTTCCGAGTCCATGCGGGAGAACGGACCGACCAGACTTCGGCACGCTTCGAGATAGCCCGCTATGAAAGCTGAGACGGCAGGCGCCAGCATCGCCAACTTCCAAATACTAACTGTTATGCGATGCAGAGCCCTCGGAGTGGGGGCGTCGCGTGCACAGCAATTCCTACAGCCACTAAGCCGCCGCATACCGAGGGACCAGCAACAGTTTGACTCTCTACTTGACCGCATGAGGGCATGTGGTCACAGTGCTGAAAGAACCCCTGACAACATGGGTGGCACCTTCAGTCACGGTCACCGCGCCGAGACCTTCCGCGCTGAGGCCAACGGAGGGCAACCTGCCAATAACGTCTGGAACGACGATCCACTATTGACTCAGAATGGTGGTTCGGCCTCGGGGTCGCAAGACTCCTGGGCTCGGTTTCGGGGGCCGCCCGACGCGGCCGCCCCTGCGCGCGCCACTGCCCTAATGGGCTCAGCGGGGCAACCTGCTGAGTCCGACTTCGACGTTGGCACCGGCGCCGACGCGTCTTCAGACGACGGGGCCACCGCCCTAGATTACTCCGATATACCCACGCACCTCACGGAAGAACAACAGGCGCAATGGACATTCGTAGGATACAGAAACATAAACGCAGGCGGGGGCGATTCATGAGGAAGCGAGTTCGCGAGGCACGGCGTGCTATCCGACGGGCACCCAAGGGGAATAGGGCGAGGGTCGAGGCAAGGGCGAACGGCGGCAACTTCATGGCAGAGGCATGTTGGCATTATTAGCATCCCTTACTGGTCCGCAGCATGAGGAGATGTTCCTATGCGCAGGCAGGAATCGCAGGCGCACATCAGGAAAGGGCAAGGGGCGTCGGGGAAACCTCGAGGATGCCAACGGTAAAACTAAGGAGTGCGACGTCTGCCACAGCACGCAGCACTTTCGCCGCGAATGCCCTCCGGGCGATGGGGGAGGCAGAGGTCCGTTGATGCATGTGGCTCAAACTGACTCGGACATGCAGTCTGTTGACTGGGGCTCACTTTTGGCCGACCCTGCCGACAGCTCAATTGCAGTTGTGAACTTCACGGTT